AAAAAAAAAAAAAAAAAAAATCACCGATGTCGCTGTGGAACCGCGGCACCGTCGTCTACCGCCTCACAGCTGCTAGCCAGAGCGGTGTGGGAGCTGCTCGGCCTTCTGTGCGTGTGGCTCGCGGGACCATAGCGCCATCTTTCTTCCAGATTTGGAATCGGATCTTCACCCGGCCTCGGGCCGACTTGCCTGCTTGAACATCCACCAGACTCTCCGCACCAAGACAATTCCTTGACACTCAGATCAGAAAGGAAGAGCTGCAAAGGGGGCTAGAAAATGTGTTTTCTTTTCTTTGGTCCCCGAGCAATTAAATTCGTAACCTAATCTGTTAGGGAATGTGGGCCATAAACCCTGTGTTTCGTTAGTTTGCACCTAGTGAGTCATTTTACACACCAGACATTTTAATTTACAACCTGCTGCATTGCAGCGCTTTTCTAGGCCTTCTGCTGTGTGATAAGGTATTCTTCTGGCCGCTGAGGCTTAAAAAATATAGATACACTCTCTTAGTTCAGATTTTTTTCTTTCTTTTCAATTTTCAGTTGCAAATCAAACATGCAGTTACAGAAGCAGAGATTCAAAAATTGAAGACCAAGGTAAGCACCATTAAATGGTGTTTGAATTGTGCTTTTGAAACTTTGGATGCTATGACTACATTCAACCCTGGGACTAAAGGATTTGTTCCTGTGCATTTGAAAGAGTACAGATGTGAGAGGTTCATTTCCACTGTTAGATAGGTAGACAAACCTGCCAGCGAGAACACCTACCCCGAGGGGGCAAGTGCCACCATACTCCCTCCGTGAAAAGAGCACAGTATTTTAAAAATACATATTTACATATTTGCACATATGTGGCCGGTTCCCTCTGAGATTTCCTCAAAGATTAAATATTGTTAAAGGTTCTAGCATCCGAATTACATTTGACCGCTAATTATACTGTTATCATCCACGCTCTTAGGTTGTATCTCTCTTTATTTATCTTATTTTAAGTAGGTTTAATCATTTATTTATTTTTAGCTTATTCATCAGAGACAATGTATTTTAATGTAACACATTCTTTTTCATGGAAAAAAATTCCAGTTCTATTAATTAAATATTATGGAATTTAATACAATATGTGAATAATTGACTTGAGGTGCCAGATGCTCCTGGAAATTTTTAGACAAGTTTAGTTTGTATTATTTAAATTTGTGGGAAAAAAACAGTTCTTGATAAAGGGAGTATGTATTCTTAGTTTACATATGAAATAATACAAGATTCAAAAGGGCATGTTTAGTTGGTGAATTATAAGGTACTTGTAAATTACTAGAACTGTGTCTAATTTTATCAAATATGTCATTTCAAAGATTTAAAAATGTTTTTGAATTACTTTTAAAATAATATTCTTTATTGTTTTTATGGTCCTTTAAAAATTAAGACATGATTTCTCCCTCACCACTAATGATCTGTTTTCCTGTTCACGCTGAACACTTATTTTGTTTTTTCCATGTGTTTTAAATGGAGATGAATTAGCAGGGCTATTTTGGTTAAATGGTATTCTCAGCTAATAACTGTGTAGCTCCTTAGTCAAAACATGTCTATACATCATTCATGGTGTCAGCCAAGCTCTGTGAATAATCATTTTTAAATTAGTAGTGGTTGATAAATAAACAACTTGAATACAAAACATTGCTTAATAAAAGATGCAGTAAAAACCTAGTCCTATTTTAAATTGCTATTGTTTCTTAGCACAGAATGGAAGAATAGACTTTTTTTAAATTGTCGGTTATAATGAGGGGGAAAGATTTCCCCTGTGGATTATAAGTGCTTTAACAAAGCTTATATGTTAGACCAAAAACATTTAATTTAGAAAATCCTATAAATAAGAAGTTTGTATTTTGTTCTTTATTATATTGGCATGTAATATTTATAATAGCTTATTTTACTATGACTCTTTATATCCATGTTGAAAATTGAATTCCTAATTTTGAAATATTTTTATTTTTGACTTTGTAATCTGTTTTGTCAATGCATTTAGTTTAAAATATACATATATATACATATATATGTATTTGCTGAATGTGGTATGGTTTGGGGATGTCTTAGATTTTGAAAATTGTTAGTTGATAATAACTCTGCATCCTTTTGAATTTGAAAAGAAGCATGTGAAATAGGTGAAGCACTAGTTTAAAGGTCAGTTATTGTGAATAAATGACCTTTGACCCCTCACCTAACCGATCAGACTTGAATTTCTGTAGAAATAAGGGGGTTGGACTAGTTTACTATCTTATTCCTAAGAGTCCCTGGAAGCAGAAACACAGAAAGCTTCCTTTCTGTTTCATAGGAGGGATTTAAAATAATTCAGCAATAATTTATATTTTTACTTTCAGTATCTTTTATACTTTCATGCAAATTGTAGCTTATAAGGCTCTGGAAATTCAGAACACTGTCAGCAGAATAATGAGCTACAGACTATGTTCATGTCAATTGAAATAAAGGATGCCATCATATTATTAAAAGGGATAAAAACGAAGTGAAGATAACTAACATTTATCAGATTATGGCCAGGAGCAGTTCCAAGTATGGCGTTGTGTTACATCACAGTTCTGTCTTATAGGTAATATACTGGAGTCTTAGAGAACTTGAATTAGCTGCTTAAGGTTTAAAGGCCAACAATAATGGCAGAGCTGGGATTCAACTCTAGACTGAATGACTCCAGAGACACCCCCTCCCCTCATAACTATTAGGCCAAACTGTACTTCTGCCCTTCTCTCCTTCTCAGCATGCCTCTCCCCCTTTCGCTTTTTAGTTAATTTTTTTATATGTAATTATATGAAGAAAGAAACTCTAAAAGAAAGTACACTGAAGTTCATCGGATAGAATCAGTCAGACTCTAAAACATTATTTATTTACCATTCATAGAATTTCAAACCACATGGTATGATGGAAAGATCATGGGAGTTGAAATCAAATCCAGGCTGTATTATTTATCAGATGTGTGACCTTGGGCAAGCATTTCAATTTTCAAGGCTACCATTTTATAATTTCTGAAATGCTGCAAATACGACTTGCTCTTCTCATCTCAAGGTTCTAGATGATTAAGTATATGTGACAGTAGAACTTAATTTAAAACATACTATAAAGACATGAAGGATTTTTGCTACAGAATACCCAGATTATCCTTATCTTGACATTTGCTTTCTCCAGCTGCAAGCAGCAGAAAATGAGAAAGTGAGGTGGGAACTAGAAAAAACCCAACTCCAACAGAATATAGAAGAAAATAAAGAGAGAATGTTGAAGCTGGAGAGTTACTGGATTGAGGCTCAGACGTTATGCCACACGGTGAACGAGCACCTCAAAGAGACTCAAAGCCAGTATCAGGCCTTGGAGAAGAAATACAACAAGGCAAAGAAATTGATCAAGGATTTTCAACAAAAGTAAGCAGCTTCTAATGACTAAAGAATAGATGTGTGCATCTAAAGAAGGTGTATATCCCATCATTTTGTAACATTTAGTAGAACAGAAAAAATAATCTTGGTTATCCCTTTAAGAAGCATAGTTAGAAAGCATAGTTTTGGAAATCACTTCTATGGTGTTTTCATGTAAGATAATATTTTGTTTATTTTACAGTTTTTTGGCAGTCGGTTATCTCTGGATTTCTTTTTGATAGTCATTCCTAGTAACTATGAAAACATTTAAATTTCTGTCCTTTTCGAAATAACTCTGTGACCAGGAAGCAAGAAGCCCAGTTGAAGTCACGCACACCCACCGTACATACAGAGAGAGCAGCAATTGGGCCTTGATGAGGCTGCTTCTGTCTCTGTTAGAATCAGTAACTGCAGAATTTTCCCACTTCAGATGGTGTCAATACTGACTAGCAAGACCCCCTGCCCTGCCATTTTCTCTTTCTCAGCTGTCGAGAGAAAACACAAGGGCCTCAGTCCCCTGCAGAAGGAGAGTCCCGGCACTACACTCTGCTTTTGCATTTCAACAGCTCTTTCCACACTCATGCTGCTTTGCTTCCCTCTGTTGGATTTTGGTGTCATTTCAGGGAAATTTTTACGTATTTTTTCATCAGTTTACTTCTGGCCAGTTAGAACAACAAAAAGCAGTGTCGGTATCCTTCCCCACGCCAAGCCTTAGAAGCTAAGTGTATGCATAAGATTCATAATGTCTCTGTCATTTCCTATCACAGAAAGAATGTTTTTAATATTTAAAGGAGATTGCTATAAAATGTTTGTTAAAAAGGGAGAAATTACCCTTTGTGATCATGAATTCAGTACATCACTATTTTAACCCTTCTTGCCAAATATATTATGCCTAATTTTATTTCATGAAACAACCTTATAACAAGCATTGCCAAATTTTCAGGTTGTAGTCCAGTCTCTCAAAATGGAGATATTTTCTCCCTCTCCCCATACTATCCTCAGGTGTGTAGGCGACAGCTCCCCTCCTCCCCCTTGCGGTGTTTTTGACCCACCCAACCCTTCACCACTGTCATTCACAGAAGGAAAATTATAATTATCTTTTGTAAACTCTTACCATCCAGTTCTATCAGCTTACTAAGCATATGACTTTGTAAGTGTGGAATTATAACTACATGACGTGTAATTATCTCCACTAAACTTACCCAAGGTGGGTCATTAGTCCAGTAGCTTCTCTCTAGACCTGTCTGGGTGTTCTAGAGTCAGGAGTTACAAATGAAAATCACGGTAAGCAGATTCAAAGCATTTTTCCTTACTTTGAGATCCATTAAAATATCTTATTTGCTTTCATTACTAGATACCTTTTTTTTCTAACTATGATTGAGTCTTGTCTATTTAAATAGCTGTCCAGTTATTTATCCCACTGTGCCATTTATTGCTTCAAATAAGAATGTTCACGTTTCCTCATTTATTGGGTATCTGATGCAATCAGATCTTTTGTTTTCTTCTTAAGAGAACTTGATTTCATCAAAAGACAGGAAGCAGAAAGAAAGAAAATAGAAGATTTGGAAAAAGCTCATCTTGTGGAAGTTCAAGGTCTGCAAGTACGGGTGAGTTATGTGCTTGGGACTACTAAGGAATAGGATGGTTTTGCTTAGTACTTGGAGAGGAGTGCTGGCTTAGAGTTTCATGGATGGATTTTTTTTTTTTCCTTAGATTAGAGATTTGGAAGCTGAGGTGTTCAGACTACTGAAGCAAAATGGGACTCAAGTTAACAATAACAACAACATCTTTGAGAGAAGAACATCTCTTGGTGAAGTCTCTAAAGGAGATACCATGGAGAACTTGGATGTCAAGCAGACATCTTGTCAAGATGGCCTAAGTCAAGGTTTGTTTAACCTACCGCAAAAATTGTTTTTAATGACTGTAAAATTTGGCTTTATATTCTTCTTTTTCCTTCCCAGAGATTTTAAAAGTTGAAAAATCTTTTCTGCCATGGGAAAGAAAAAAAAGGTTTATCAAAATAAGAACCTATTATTTCTTTCTTGTTTTATCAAAACTCAATGATTTCATGTAAGGAAATAACAAAATTGAAACTTAAGGCAAGCCAAGTGTTTTTAAGCCATCATAAAATTGATAGACTTAATAAACTACCTTAAAAAAACAAACTACCTTAAAATGATAGTTCGCCCCGTTGGGTGAAGCTATACTACTTATGTATTAATAAGTAAAGCTTACGATTTTTAAGTTATTAGAATGAAGATCTTTTTCCTAACATCAGAAGGCTGATTACCTACTTCTGGTACTTGGAATTCATTGAGTTAAGAAGTTCTGCATCGTTTTATGCTTTTACCTTGGTGTCCTTATATACACTTCCCATTCTTTCCTGTCAAAGACCAAATAAGATCGAAATGCTGGAAACATTTTCTGTTGTAAATGTTTGTCTTGTTTTACATACCTACCATAAATCAGTCACTTACTTTCTTGCACAGACACACGTCCATACGTAGGTTGTGTGTATATGAATGTGAATGAATGTTTTAATATTTGTGGTGTATTTATAAATTAGAAAATGTATAAGAATTTATCAAGATAAATACACAGGAGGATATAAAACCTTCGGTTTCATCTTTTAAAGTTTGTACCTAGTGGTCCTTGGAAAAAGCGAAAATAAAACAATGTTGTGAATTAGCATTGTCATCTTAGGACACAGCTTACAGTCGGTGATTTGCCATGCAGTAAAACTGTCACTAATGACCTATTTAATTCTTTGATGATCTTTCTAACATATTAAAATGTCTCCAACGAGACTTTCCTGATACACAAGTGCTCATTAACACAAGTTAATGAACTTTTAGAACTAAACTCGTAGCCATGAAAAATGAGAAGTGTTGGACATCTTCCTTCAGAGTGAGATCTAGAGATTTGAGACCAATTTACTGCATTTATATCTTTTTGCGAGGCTTTCCCTTGATAAAATATGACGTGCACACGACACCTCTTGGGCAGCTCTAAGAGGAGTATTTGGCACCAGCATCACCGCTAACTGAAGATCTGTGTGTCTTCGGGAAGGTCACTCAGCGTCTCTGGGTTGGCTTTACTCTGTATAATATAAAAATAGTAACGCATCTTTTTTCTTCACACCAATATGTGTTTTGAGGTTATATGACTTAGTCCCTGAGGTGAATGAAAGCAAATTTATTAGAGCTTTTATAGGATTCTGGTTTTTGTATCTGGAACTCTATAAAGATTGATTTCTAAAGACAAATGCCAGAAAAAAATTAGTTTCTTTTTGAGTATTTTAATTAAATTGTAGTTTGTAGCAAACATGTATTTCTACTGTGGCATGCACCAAGTATGATCAGTAACCAGTAGCTTTCCAATGTTCAATTCATTTCTGTTCATTTCTTTCAATTCAGAAATCTGTATCTTCTCAAACATATAATTAATGTTATTTATTAAATTATGTGACTACAGAAGATAAACAAACTATACTATTAACACGCTGCTTTGGATCAAAACCTTATATTTCTTCTGAACCCTTTTCCTATTCTACACCCTCCATTTTGCCACATAATTATCAGTTTCCCTAGCAACACTGTCGGTTCACAGTGAGATGCAGAGACTACTAATTCTTACTGAAACCAATCCATGCTTGTGCGGTTGAGGTAGAATCAGTCATCTTAGACATTAGCAGCATACATATCAAGCGGCGCTCTTCCAGTTTTGCTGCCGAGGACAGTCAGTGATAAATCTCCTTGAATTTCAATTGCTTGATCACATAAACTGAAATGGCTTGGTCAGTAGCTAGATAGGAATGCTCTGGAAAGCACTTTTCTAAATTGATCCTTTGCGTCTGTTGCTAGGGAACGCTGAAGACCTAGAGGTTTGGAAAAGGAAGTAAACTGTGGACCTGACACAGGCCATTTGACATTTCAAGATCCACGCTCCCCCCCTGCCCCTCCCCACACCTTTCTGCAACAAGATAGGTACAGCCGTTGCCGTCAGTTCTGTTAGTTTCTGCCCCTTAAATACAGGGCCTTTTCTCCCCACTTCCTGTGGACTGTCCAGTTCTGACTTGCTTTCTGAGCACTGGAGTGTTTTATTGATAGGGTGAGTGCTTTAGCATATTTTTAGGCCTTGAGGCAGCTCAGTGAAGTAAAAGGATTATCATTTAAAGTCAATGAAAAATTATGTTAGAATGAAATAGTGAAAGAAGGAGAAAAGAAGGAGAGAGTGAAGGAGGCAGAAAGGGAGGAGGAGGAGGAAAGGAAGGACACATAAGCAGCCATTTCTTCACAGGACTCATGTTCTTCCAGGAATGGGCTTCCCAAATGAGGAGGGATTAATTACGTGACTCTCAACATTGAAGTATTGTAAGTTTTTAGAGTGATAAAATCGTTTTCAGGCCATGCAGAAGTTTACCACAGTTACAGTTCTATTTGAGCACCATTTGTGTGCTTCTCTCTATAAACCAAGCCTATCCAAGTATCTCATTAAAATTTTGATAGAATATATATACAAATCCATAACTTAATATCCTCTAATATATTTTTCTTATCATAATACATAAAAGAAATAGAACAGTTCTTTTCACCAGGAGCCATGACAAATCCTTATTAAGGATTACTACTTAATTATTAAGTTATTAATTAGCACTTATTTATTAAATAAACACATTATTTTTCTTGTGTTCTGAGACATGAAAAGTAATTATTTTGCCCTCCTGCCTTGTTTTATGTTAGTCATTTCTTTTTCTTTTTTTTAAGTTTATTTATTTTGAGGTGGTGTGGGGGGAGGCAGAGAGGGGGAGAGAGAGAGAGAGAGAGAGAGAGAGAGAGAATCCCAAGCAGACTCCTTGCCGTCAGCACAGAGCCAGATGTGGGGCTTGAACTCATGACCCATGAGATTATGACCTGAGCTAAAGTCAAGAGTCAGATGCCTAACCAACTGAGCCACCCAGGCACCTCTTGTATTTGTCATTTCTTAGTGCCTCAGTAGTGCTGGTCTATGTAAGAGTTCTCTACCGTGTATCCAAGGGCCCTTAGTGACTAGAAATGTCTGTGACTATCCAGGTTTTTAAGTCAGGATTAGAATAAGAGCAGAGAACAGTCATGTTAGAGAGATCTTGGTAGAAAAGGGTTGTAGTCCTAGTTTGATTAGATTCCCTGGAGATCACTTTAATGACATGCGCTTCCTGCACTTCAGAAATTCCAGGATCCTTAAGATGAAACTGTTTTCATCTTCAAATATTTCAAAGGCTCTTTTGTGAAAGTTTATGCATATTCCATAGAGATAATGAAAGAAAGACTAAAACTAATTGATAAAAGTTACATATGAAGGCAGATTATGATTATCCTTCCTCGAGAGGTTAAAAGTAAGTTTGATACCTTTAGAAAAGTATTTTGAACCCTGAAAGCCTAGTGGCATACTGACTAATAAAAAGAAAGATGGCTCCGGGGTAGAAAGAACAGTGTTTGTCTCTGCTAACTATACAACAAGGCATGTAACTTATAGGATAAAGGATGGAGAAGGTCAAGTATTTGGCATAGGACAAATACATACAAGATACATTTTAAGAGATGAGAAGGAGTTTGAAGAAAAGGGAAAAAATGAATAAAATTAGAATGATTTTTTTTTCTGATTCATAGACTTTATGTTAAAGAATGAGACCTGATGTTAAAGGTATGCTACAGGGTATTCTTGGACTAAAAGTAGGCTTTGAATACCTGAAGAATTCATACTTGTTTCTGTAAGCACCATGACCCATTGATACTTTGGAGGCATAACAGGAACTGGGTCACTAATAGGTTTGTAAACGTGGTTCAAGTATCCCTGTGAATTTTGGGTATTACTACCAAATGCTTCTTTCTCATACACACTTACTCAACCATTGGGCCACTAGAGAACACTGAATGTTATTTTCCCTAAAGTGTAAACATGGAAGATTATATAAAGCATTTTATTCATAGTTCTTTAGTTACTTACCATTCCGTAGCTCTAATAAGAACTGTGCCAGAAGTCTTTTTCTTCACATGGAAGAAATGGACTGAAGGTGCAATATGGCAGATTGTAAGAAAGTCTAGACTTTCAGCATAAATTGTATCTGGAATTAATTACTGAAACCTGGGTGTCTTTAAAAAAAATTTATCAGCTACTTTCCAGGTAATTTAAGTATATCCTGGATAAAGGAGTATAAGGATATGAAAATAATACCTTCTCACTTCCTCTCCTTTCCTTTACACTTTTTCCACAAAATGGTTTGACTGTTGCAATAAAGCTCTAGATTTCCTAAAAGTACATCCCTAAGATGGTAGTCTGCACCTGAATCATGGACCCAGGACGCTTGGTCTGAAACCTAGGCCTTGTGGACATGTCAGTGGAACTCTGAGCCTGCTTAGATATTCAAGCCAGTCAATTCTCTGATCATCAGGCCCCACCCACATATATTTGCTTATTGTGAAACAGCGGTTAGCTTATTGGTTTGCATGGAATCTGATTTCTCTGAATTCAGTCACTTCTTTGAAATTTACTCTGATTTAAATAAAGTCTTTATCAGGAAGAGCCAGGTAACCAGATGCCATTAAGAGTATCTACCTTTTTTATCCATGTGTTTTTATCCTTATACTTCATTCATTCATATATTGTCTAGAAGTAACTTGGGGAGACACATTTATATGACAGGATTGGATAAATTGATAGTGGCAAGATAAGAAAGAACAATAAGGGTGAGGAAAGAGTGGAACCAGAAATACTGCAAGTATTTATACCATGCTTATAGTATTTCTGAGGCAAGGCCTTTTACCTGGCTCTCAGCTTTCTAGTTGTCAGAAGGAAAGGGGGAAACCTTTGTTCATTACATCATTCACAGTGTTCCTAAGATAAAAA